GGATAGGCAACTAGAATGGCTTGGGGTGGTTAGTGAAACACTGCAAATTTCACGTGAAAACAAAAGGAGTGAAGAAGCCAACAAATTGTAACAAGGGGGATGTTCGGCGCGTTGACGACTGCTTGCATCGCATTGGAGACCTTCTGGCTGACACCGATGGTGTCAACCTGAAGAAGATTTCGGAGAAGACCGTTAAAGACAGCTTCCGGACAGATACGAAAATGTAAAGTACAGGGGCGCCCGTCCTGGTAAGGCTTTTGCCCAACTGGCAATGCATCAATTTGCTTCTGAAGCGAGAAATCCGCTTCAGGAGTGCCGAGCGGAACGCCCGGCGACCGGGACAAGTTAGTTTGATAAGCCAGAGTGCGCATACCGCACTCAGTCAAGACGTAGGGTCCCTCAAAGACTCTGCATCTAAACTTGGCGGCATGCGACAAAATTCAAATCGAGAGCTTCTGGAAAAGACAGTTTTTGGCGTTTTCGTGCCTCCAAGTTGCATTTTCAGAGTCAGCGGGAAGAATGAGCCCACGTAAGCTAAAAAGAATTGCATTCGAATTTTGCCCGGACACTGCGTCTGAGTATTAAAAAGGTGATTCCAAGATCAAATGATCTATCAAGAGAATTACAACGCTAAACACAAAACTTTACGTAGTGGCGAATCCACGTGTTTCTCCCCCGTTGGTCTACATTTTATGACACGATAGCTTTTGCATTCATGCATTGCAAAAGCTTGCCAGCAAATCGGTTGATATGGCGTAGTGGCTGTGCTCGCTAATCGCAATTATCGCGTCAAAGGTACGATGTCCGTGCGCGTGCAGATTTTGCGGAGAGATTACTACAGGCCATGGTGTTAGTGCCAAGAAAGCTGCCGTTTCAAAATTCAAAAAAAAAGTGAAAACTTGTGTAATGGGGTTTTTATGGACGCTGAGTTCAATACTCAACTATCCACAAGATTGCGAAGCTTTCTAAACGGCGGTGTAACCGCACTTTTTAGGAACATTGGAAAATTGGCCGCGATCCCTCTTACCTGGCATAACTCTTCAAAGAAGCATCATAATAAGTTGGGAACTTCACACTTAGAATCAGCCACTCTACTTAGCCTATAAAAGTTTTCAGGCTTTTTCCTTCCTGACAAGGGAAGGAAGGTTGGTCGAATTGGGCTTTTGAAATGAAGTGTATACTATCTTGCAGAGCTTGGAACGCTGATTCCAAATCTGCCTTCGCTATCTGCTGAGGGCTTCTGGGCGAGGAGTTGTGAAGGTTTTTGGGAGTAAAAAGTTAATTGTAAAATTGGTGTAAAATCAGTCGTAACAGTTCTCCTAGGGCTTAACTAATAGTCGGGTCATTCGGTGCAACAAATATTCTTGATTCAAATATATCAACTCGCTGCTGCTCCATTTGAACGTCAGAAAAAGGTTACAACTGGCTTTTATACTATTCCTGCATTTGAATTTTTACTCACAAAAACCTTCATGACTTCTCGTCCAGAAGCCCGCAGCAGATAGCAAAAACAGATTTGGAATCAGCATTCCAAGCTCTACAAGAAAGTGTACGTCTCATTCTGAAAGGCCATTTCGACCAACCTTCCTTTCCTTGTGAGTCAAAATATGGCCTTTCATGGCTCAAAACCCTCTTTGAAATTTCCATTGTAATCCTACATAATAAAGAGAGATGAGTGATTTGCCCTATATTGTGAATCTAGATGAACTCGCGCAACAAAATGGTACCTAAAGCTTCCCGAAACACCTCATTAAAAGAAAGTTATTTGCAATCAAACAGTGAGTGCATATTTTTGGGACACCCTGTATTTCCTGAAAGCGGAGAACAGCGGCTCCGATGGTGACTTTTTTCATGTACAAGCTATTCATCTGCAAAATTTATGAATTTTTTTATGTTGAAAACTCGTAAGCATCCAGAAATCACTATGCACACCTTTCACTAAGTACTTCTATGGACGAACTTAAGCAAACTATTTATTCTTTGAAACCAGAGGGGGATGTTGTACCACGGAACTTTCCTCGCTGACGTTGCTTTGCAACAGCAGCTACTTTTTTTCCTCCTCGGAGTTCGTGAATGCCTATAAACCTACTTCCTCCTTTCCGATACATAAATAATTCCCGTACAAATATCTCCTTTGCTTAGTCTTACCTCACTGTTGATTCTTCTTCTCGGTTTTTGGTGAAGGCGTTCACCTGTGTCTCGGTTCAGGGGTGAAGGGAGGGTGAGCATATTCTCACACTACCGCACCTATGCCCTGAACCGCAACCGCCTTCGTTAGACAGCTGCGCCAATTCTACAATTGTAGCTTCTTCCTCGAACAATTGATCATGTCCACTACTCTTCAGTAGCTGCTAGACATTGGAATATGCCCACAGTATGCATCACAAACCCAATGCAGGGCCAAGCTACGTGTCGCAATGGCCTAAGGCACTCAATGCGGCGACAGCGACTCTGTTACTCAAATAGAGAAAATTCATCAAGCACCAAAAATATTTTTTCCGAGGGTGGATAGCAGTGTCAGGACTGAATCGGGTAAAACAATTTGAAAACAGCGTCAGTGCAAAATAAAGTAGCTTGGCTTGACTTTTCAATAAGTTGCTTATTTCAAAGTTTTTAAGTCTTGGAAATTGTACAAAATTCAGGAACGAGTTTTTCTTCCAAATATTTGATTTATATTTTTACATTCGTGCTTCATCTCATTGTCATCGAGAAATTTAATGCTCGTGAATGCTGCTCAACTGTAAACACAAACATACACAGACAAACAGACGATACGCTCTTTATTGTAAGTCATGATATTCATATTCGAATAAGTTATCATGAATTGAATGAAGGAATATTTAAACTAATCGAATAATTGAATAAATGAAATTTTGCGAATATTGAACTATTCGAATATTGGAACAGTTAAACATCTTAAAAACTGTTGAGCACGAAATCGGTTCCACTATGCTTTCAAATATTCGGATATCTGAGTAGGTGCTTTTTCATGACATTAAAAAATCAAATATTCAGACAAGCCAATTTCTCAAGTGGCATAATAAACGATTGTTAGAATCGCTCTCTCTTTCATATATTCAACTGGATTAATCAAATAACCAAATTTTTGAATAGTTTGTTCGAATATTCGGCCTCAGCTACAGGCTCTACCATTCGACCACCACTCGTTGCAGTCGAATGTTGTGTGCGAAGGTGCCTGTTTGTTGTAGATTCTTTCGTATCTTCTAGCAGAAAAGTGGGAAGATTCAGAAAATAAAAAAAACCTCAGAATATGCAAGTATCTTTCCAACATCTTACATTGAGCCCACACGTATAAAAGTACGGAAGTGACTCTTTTTTAGTTGCAAATATTGAGTCAATGGATCTTCTCTTGTCTGGTTATATTATTGCTTATGCAGCAAGAAAAAGCGCCGATGATCCAGGCTGCCAAAGAACGACATATACGCAGGACGGACATTTTTTGATCGAAAGTCCAAATATTTTGTGTTTTAGCCTCATTTCCCCTTCACCTATCAGAAGATTTGACATACTAAGAAGCAAAGAATATTGTATATTTTCTTGCTCTAGCGGTGCATTAGCACTTCCTCAAATCAAATTCATTCGAACATAAACTCGAACTCCGAGAGAAATACTGAGATAGAATGTGAAAAAATGCCTTAGAGATAGGGGCCGGGTTTTCTACTGCTTTGAGTCGTTTTTGTGTTTCTTAGTGTTTCATCCCCATGCCACCTGCCGAATGTATCAAGGAATGGTTAATGTTTTGTCAACTTTATTGCTGGCTGGTTAACTCTTAAAATTGATGTTTTTGAGCTTTTATCTCTTTTTTACAGTTTAGCAATGCTTCCGAACGCCAATTGGACAAATACATCAATGCATTACCAATTTCCTATACCAAAAAATCAAAATATGCTGCGATCATATCGAAATTCTTTACAATAAATAGCCGCTGAGACGCTTTCCTTACCAGTCCACTTTCGTTGTTTCGACGGTGGTGTGTTTCATTTGAAGAAACCTCATCCTTCCCAAAGCTGGAACAGTTTATTAACACTAATGCTCTTCCATGGATTAGATTTTTCGTTTAAGAGCAAAGCAGTATCCGCGCAAGGACTGACTCGTAAGAAGTTTGAAGTCAAGGTCTAATAAATATTGTAAACCCAACGATCGAATTTCTGTTTGAAAGTTCCAGCATCTAAGTTGTTCCTGTATATACCCTCAAAGTATATGCAAAAACAGTTGTATTTTTGCTTCAATGGTATATGAAAGGCAAAATAAGGTGAAGTTAGGAAAATTGCTGATTCTCGGTTTTTAGAGCTAATTTTTGGTCTTTAGTCACATTTCATGTTTCCTGACAAACAGTGCTCGCAAAAATGAAAATTTCCAGTTGGTTCTTGCGAAGAAAGAAATGCTCATGTACAAGCCAACAATGATTCGTTTGCAGCATTCCGGTTCTCATTTTTAGCTACGAGAGAAATACCATGTCTTTCTAAGAAAAGCTCGTGCGGAGAGTATAGGCATAGGGAAGTTTGAGTGGCAACATTCTTCAGAGGATTCAAGATTATATTCTTTAGCTAATTTAACACAGAAATAATCATACGAGTGATTTATGATACCTTGAGGGCTTGCTTTATCGAATCTTGTGTTTCTACAATTTTTTTCAATCTTTTATTCTCTCCAATTTCTGATCTCCTGCGGTAGCATGAGGAACATGCAGTAATAAAGTTATCATGCATTCAGTAAGTTTGATTAGTAAGAGTTACCAGATCTATGTGAAGTAATTATTGTCTTTCTCAAATTGTACATTACTTGTCATACGGCAAATAAAAGGCATGATTGCAGAATGCGAGTACTGATCTTCTCGTTTGTTCTCTCATCATGCTACTGTTTTCCTTCTGATATCGAATTACCTGAATTCGGGTTTTGGCAGACAACTGGAGTAAGGGGATTCCTTCTTTGTAACGGTGAACCCGCTGTTAGAGTATTAGTTACTTTGCATGAAATAGATCATTGTAAGTTGATGCCAAGCTGAGCTCCACTTTAAATTATAATTTCAGTTTCCAAAAGGGAGCTGGCTGCCACCGGAACGGACACAATGGGATTTTTCGAAATTTCAGGCAGTGATCAAGAGATATCCCAAATTGATCCACAACTCCGCATTCTCTCTCCGTGCAACCGTAAAAGGGTACTGTTTCTTTTTTCTTTGATGATGAACATTTACGTTTCCGAATGAATGTTGACTAAGCTTACAAGATCACACGAATGATGTTCAGAAGGACTGGGAGTGGGTCTGCATAGACATTCCATCAAAGTATATAAGAAGAGGAAAAACAATACGTCCCAGGGAATACTGGGACGTCGATATTGAGATCGGCACAAGAGCCAACTTATGCTCATTTACCGATAATCCCTTAATAATAAACTTATAATAAATGACTTATAATAATAATAGTAAATAATAAAGCGCGTGTCTGTCTGTCTGTGTGTGTTTATGTCTGTCTGTCACGAAGTTCATAGAGCATTTTGTAAGCAAGATCTTGAGCTGAAATTCTGGTCATAGCACCCTACCTGCATGTAGGTAAAAAGTGCAAAAGCACAAGCTGATCCGATATTTGACCTTTAAAAACTGCGCGTCAAACGGGCCCACGCGGCTTTTGGCACGCAAAACTAGGTCATTGATTCGACTTTTTGCGAAGTCATGATTTGCCTGACAAGTGCATCTGCGCCTCATGGATTCTAGCCCAAAAAGTGCTCAAAAAGTTTGCTTTTCTGCGACAACAGCGCCAAGAAATGGTGATCGCTCAGACAGTCGATTTGGCAAGGTTTTACCTTCAGACTTGGAAAGATTTTTGCACGGAAATTTAGCTCAAAGTGACTATCATCCTTATGACGACTACCAAGCCAAAACAAATTCAGTAATCTAATCAAATTCGCAGGTGTTCCTTTGCGACAAGTTCTTTTCCCTCAAAATTACCGATCTTACGTGGAGATGCTTCAAGAATGAACAGTTGTTTACTATTTATTTGTGATGTTCAGCATCGCATGTTGGGTTTCAAAGTCATATTATGCAAACATGAGAAAGGCAAACGGATAGGAGAGCCAGTGCGAGCCTCCGCGAAGCGGAGGTGACGCACTGGTCAATGAATAAAGACTATCATCCGCAAATTTGAGTTGTACGGGACATGGATTAATGTCACATGAACAAATCTCAGAAATGCATTTGTCAGAGTGATTCTGCGCTTCTTCTTTTTTTTCTTCTTGTCATTCCTTTAAGCTATATGAATTTAGTTTCTTGACGTCCTCCGTCCTTTTTGCAATGTTTTTTAAGTTCACATCAGGAATTCAATGGAAAGAAGAAGAGAAAAATTTAAACACCGCGTTAGGCCAAATAAGGCATGTGCAGCGAGACTCAAAACTTTGGGCCACTCCATATTTTCACCTCAGCTTTACTCACGAGTTTTCCTGAAATAATTCGTATCAAAATCAAGTTTTCCTGCTTGACGCTTCAAAGATTCTATCCTAGGAATTTTTCGTGTAAGCGTTCTATAAAGGCGCTAAGAATCTGATTGTAAACCCGTCTGTATTAACCTTTGATTCAACTGGCTTGGCATCATCAGGGCGGGGCTTTGTGGCCTAATTGAGGCCGCTCGCGCCCGCGACGCACCTGCGTCTCTCTCGCGCGAGTGCTCTCTGATCATTACCTAGCCTTAATTAGGTCACGAAGCCCCGCATTCCCGAATGCCAAGTTGGTTGAATCAAATGTTACATTACTGTCTTATCTCACCGCTGATTTTGCGCATACAATGCTTTTGAGCTGCGGAATTTCGACTTAGCCCGCTTAAATTAATTTATGTTAAGCATTTGGGGCGTTCTAGGTACTGCAATTTCGGAGTATTGAGGTATCTATCAAAATTGGCGCATACCCAGTGATTTGTCGGGAGTGGCGGGTATTTTACTGCGATGGTGGATTCGGATCGTTCAGACTTGCGCAGTCGGGTAGATGGTTTATACGCATGCTACAACTTGAACAAAACGTTTTTCGCGAAGTTGAAAAAAATTCCAGGGCAAGCAAGTTTCTGTTATTTTAGTAACTGCACTGAAAACGTTCTCCGAAGACGTTGTTGTTTATGGTATGTCGGCTTCATAATTTAATTGCGATTTTTTGGTAACTGCAGCTCGTTGAACACGTTTCCAGGTGGATAGATTCAAAGCATTTGAGCAAGAAGGATAAATTTTGAGTTGGCTAATAAAGAATTTCCTCGTTACATGCAACTTCGAAGCTCAAATAAAAACCCAAGTAACTTCACGACCCATTTTACGTTGACTATCGCAGTAGTAAGTTCCGGCATTGTAAAATAATACGTATCCGTTGCTTCCCTGATATACAGTACTCAGCTGATCAATTTTCAATGATGTGTTTCAGATGCGCGTTCATTTCTAACCTCAAAATCGCTTAAAACCTGGTGTTTGGAAGACGACGGCGAATAGTTTAAATTTGGAATCGGCTTTCATGCTCTTCAGGATATGTAGAAATCGCCTAAGAAGGCGATTTCTACATATGGTCGTGTGGCCACTTCGACTAATAATTCTTTCTTTGTAGGATCTCCTACTTTAAGCAACTATAATTTGATTTCAAGACCAGTGAGGTAAGCCATCATAGTACGTGAACAGCCACAGTGGCGCGTTCCTAGCCGACATGACTGGTTTTGTAGTTTTGTATTTGTGTTTTATGCGTATCTTGGACTATATTTATCTCGAAAACATTGAAGCTGCCAATAGCGCTTATACATTAGTTTCGCCTAATTGGAACGCCACTTTGAGATAGAAACACAGGCTGGAGAACCCTGTATTTGCAATGTTTGTAGAATATTAACCGGAGAGCCAGGCGCTTGAATAAAGAAATTTGCCGGAACCTTGTCAAGAGGAGCAAAGTAAGAAACAAACCACTGGAACCCAGCACAGACGTCAATAGTTTTCACATACAGGCTGCTGGATGACGAAGGCGCAGTTTTTTGGGCGCGAATGCGGTCTTATTGTCTGTGAAGCGCATACGACCTAAATAAGACCTAAGACATACCTGCGATCCCAGTCGCGTCGCGAATTCAGACTCGGACCTATGTTTCGAGTCCGCAGCGCACTCGCCCCCAACTGTGTGGTTCCGCGGCGTCTGTGTTAGATTGACGCTGCGACGAATCGTGGGCCTTTTGTGGACGCTATACTCTCAAAATGGGCGATGTCGTCGATAGTTCTGCACCAATGATGGGCAAATCGCCAAATGGCTTCTCCTTTGTGAGAAGTTTTGTATTTTTTTGGAAATGCGAATCTTATATAGAACTATTTTATCTCTCACAAGCGCTTCGTCTTTGCATGAGAAAAGGATGGTCATCGAACGTTCCATGATATTAATCCTTGAAAACAACACATGCGAAGTTTATAGTTGGAATGCTTCCCACATGTCACCTCACCTCTGTATTAGCATTTACCGTTTTCGCAGTGCACTAATCTTCTCCCATTCTTGTTTCTTAACAGCAAGTAGATGGTGACCGAAACGCGAACGTTCTGTTACAGTTCATGAAGGAGAATGATGTGCAGTCTCGGTTGCCGCATATATGTATAATCATGCGCAGACTGACAGACAACAGCTCAGCACTCGCTGTTAACGTATGCCTATCTAGAGTGACCGAAAGCATGGCCTTATTGTTATGAAGCTAACATATATGCCTACCAGTGCTTGGAAGGATGTACTTAAAACTTTATGAACTAGTAGTCGATTTTGGCAGATGTTAACTCTCCGGTAGAAAAAAATTGGTAAGTGCTAGAATAGTTGTGAGTCCATGTCCTTCCTTGTTTGATGTAATGTTCTTTGGAAGCAAATGGCGCCACATTCTGTTCGAATTTTCTTGATAGATGCACTTCCAAACGCGCAGTTTCCCCGAATGTGCGTATAACCGTATAACACGGTGTGGTATGTTAACGCCTACGAAACTGCTTTGGGTATGTCCGGTAATTGAGCGACGAGCGCTTTTCATACGATGAACGGTCGCCCAGGCAGTCTAATCGCAGCGATCGAACATCGTAAGATGGGATCGCTGGAGGTATGCCTTTGGCCTAAGGCGCAGGATCTATAACGGTGGAGATACACGCACGTCGCGTTCGCACCCGCTCAGCCGATACTGCTTCTGCGCCTTCGTCCTGCAGCAGCCTTTATAAAGTCAGCGCATCCAACAACCCGTAAAGACCTTTTGATGCACCTTACAAATCTTTATTGACTGATTCGCTTCAGAAAGATAATAACCAAACCGGCAGAAAGCAGGATGCTACAAGATGCTATACTGAGACCTGATTGAAGGTGAACGTAGTAATTTGAATTTTTCCACGTTGCCTTTGCTTGAAAGTACCCTTTAATTCAACCGGATTGGCGGCTGGAAAGCGACGCTCGCATCCGCGGCGATGTCTGCGTTTCTATCGCGCCCGTGCACTTTGATCATTCCCTAGCCTTCGGCCCCGCCTTTCAGCCGCCAGTCCTGTAAAATGAAAGGATAGTCGTGCTTGAAGCATTACTCAGACAATCACAGGCTCTCAGCCGGCAGCCACAAAGCCACCGCGAAAACCCATCAAAAGCGCGGTGGCCTCATCGCCTCACTGTCGCTTCCCGCTGAGAACTGGCAGCGAGCGGGCTGCTATAAAGCCTTCAGCGCGAAGCGAAAAGCCTTCAGCGCGAAGCGAAAGCGGCGGTTTCGCTTCGCGCTGAAGGCTTTATAGCAGTCCGCTCGCTGCCAGTTCTCAGCGGGGAGCGACAGTGAGGCGATGAGGCCACCGCGCTTTTGGTGGGTTTTCGCGGTGGCTTTGTGGCTGCCGGCTGAGAGCCTGTGATTGTCTGAGTAAAGGCAGTGTACCTATATATCTCGCTATAGTATGTCGTCTTTTCGAAACCTGTTAAATGCAGCGTCCACTCAAAATCCACCCACCCAGATTAGCACATAGTTGTAGAGCGGGCCGCAAGACTATCCGATTTGCATTGGTCCGCTCCTTTGACGTGGCCTCTAGAAGGAGATACGAGCCTGTGATACGTATCAGAAATTGCCCCTCATATCGCAACTGCACCCATGCAGTTGCAGCTCCTTTCCGCTGACAAGCAGGGAATGAAGAAGAATCCTAAACTTTTCCGCACCCTCAAAGGTCCTGAGAATTCGGGTTTTTGAGGGTTTTGGACAATTTGAACGTTATGACTGTAACCAGGGCCACGAAGAGGCCCCAGAATGACTAAAACATAAAAGGCGGAGTTTTGCCCGGACGCT